TTAAGTTTTCTTTTTAAAACTAAAAGCAACCATACAGTTTTCACACTAAAAGAATGGTCCATTAAATACATACTGGACTGAGTCCTTATAAAATGGGCTTTGTTTGAAATGCGAATATCTTGAAATGACTTTTTTTTTCTTCCTCAACTCTGTACTTTTTTACAATTTTATGTATACTATAATTGAGGGTAGTACTACTTTCAGATAGGAAAAAAAATACAGTAAAGCTTTCTAACTCAAAAACCTCACTCTTCGATTTCTAGCCTTTAAAAATAGGCAGAGGATAAATACTGCATAATACCGCGGTTATGAAGCAGGACTGACACAGTGTTGGGAGGAGAATAGGAAAAGAGTGGCTAGATAGTGAAATTGTACTGGAACAGATGAGGGAAAGAACTGTTTAAAAGGAATATATGATTCACATTATATGTAAGACAAGAGTCCAGAATAAGAGATACATTGCAAAGAGGGCTGGGGAAAGGTAATTGTGCAACAATTAATGAATATGTTTAAAAAGTGTACTTGGAGAGGTAGGGAGGAAAATGTGCAATAATGAATGAATGAAATCTAACTTTTCTGTAAACTTTTGTCAAAATCACAATTTAAAAATTATTTTAAAAAATAGACATTTATATACAAAGATGCTTATTTCAGAAAACACGTTATTTTAGTATCAAGGTTCAGATCTATTGTTAATAGGCTCACTCTGAGTCAGACTCAACTCAATGGCACTTAACATGATCAGTTTGAATCAATCTCTCAAAAAATACTTCTTTTACTCTATTACTTACATCAGTTTTACAAATAAATACATGTATGTGCACATGGAAGGAAGGTAAGACAGAAAGGCAATAAATAAACACAGAGCAGCACAATATGACTTTTATATATTTTACATCTCTTAATACACTACTTGCATCCTACCATCAAGTCTAGTCCAACTCATGTAGTCGTTGAGTGTCATCAAGTGAAGAACAATTCATAGCAACTCCATGGACAAGAGATCTGAACCTCACCCTATCTTGTGACATCTTCATCATCTCTGACACACATCAGCCCACTGCTGCAGGCACTGTGTCACTCCATCTCATTAAGAATCTTCTCTTTCGCTGACCTTCCACCTTTCCAACTATGATCTCTTTGTCCAAGGACTGGCAACATGCCCCAACAACATGCCCAAAGGATGGAAGAAAAGTTTTACCATCCTTGCCTCTAAGGAGAACTTTCTCCAAGACATAATTGTTAGGTTTTTTGGCTGTCTGTGACCCCACAACTGGTGACAATATATGTTGTTGTCGTGTTGTTATGTGCCGTCGAATCACCTGAGAGTCACAGCGACCCCATGTCCAAGAACATTTATATGATCTTTTAGTAGCAAATTCCTCTTAGAGAATTGTAGCATTTTACCAAGTAATGAGCAATTGTCAGCAAGATATATTGATATGACAGTAGCTCCAACATTTGGTGAAAACATAGCAATGGCATCTAACAATAACAACATAAGCAATGTATGATAGCATAGGTTGTTATATTTTCAGGATGAAATGACTAATTTTTAGCAGTTTTATTGAGATTTTATATATATGTATGTATGTATACACACACACACACATAGGCACACACACATATATCTTGTAAATACGGAGCTCTAGCAGCCTAGAGGTAAGAAGCTACACTGCAATCCCAAAGGCACAGTTTTAATCCACCAGCTGCTTTGCCATTCAAAAGTGAGTGTTTTAAGGCGCAACAATTTCATAAAATACTTTATAGCATGAGAGAGTCTAGAGGCTTTATGCTGAGTGAACTAACTCAGTCTCATAAGGAAAACAGTGCTTAAAGACCATTATTATAAAAATAGAGTTATTTACTCAGTGTCCAACTGTTCCTACTCTTTTGCAACTTATTTTTTACACCCAATGTTGTTTGTGAGGTTGATTCATATTGATACATAGGTCTAGTGCATTCCTTTTAATGTATGGTGGGAGCTCTGATGGCCTAGTAGCAAGAAGCTGTAACATGGTTCAAGGGCATCAGTTGCTCTGTGGGAAAAGAATGGGTAATCTCCTCTTGTGCAAGTAACTGCTTCTGAAAACCTGCAGGAGGGTCAGGTATGGGTTGGTTCCGACTCATTAGTACACAACAACAACAGAAACAGTGTATTGTAAAATTATCTAATTTGCCCATTCTCATATTGATGGACATCAATTTGTTTCCACTTTTTGCAACATTCCTTAATAAATTTTCTCCCTAAATTCTTTTACTAGACCCTTGTGATTAAACAGTCTGTGGGTGAGGATGGGTAGGGGTGAAACCACTGGATTGTACAATTTGGTAGGTAGAAGGAGGGGGTGAAGGAAATGAGAAGGATGCAGCGGGGACCTGAAAAGACAGGGTAATGATGGGCAAGGTCCAACGGTGATTAATTTTATAAAACATAATGCATGGGAATGAGTGTATGAAATACCATGTGAATGAAGAATAGAGTAAAACACAATGTATATAAACTTTGTAAGCAAACAAATATTAAAAGAAAAACCCATCTGTGGATCACATTTTTTAAAAAAAAGGTGAGTGTTGTCCCTACTGGCAGTACTCAATGGTCACACCTCACAATTGGCAAACTCCTGATGACAGACCACCCTGTGGTTTTCTCATGGTTTCAGTGATATTATAGGTTCTTTTTCAAATCCATGAAATTAAATTACTTCTGCTACTTGGAAATTTCTGTTACAAATTGTGAAAATTTCTGCTTCTTAGACACAAGAAAGTAAAATATGTCAGAAGAACCTTATGCTTTTCCAAAAGTTACTTTTTCAAATCTACAGTCTTCATTTAAGAACTGAGAAAAGAAAGATCACATCTCTTCAGAAAGAACTATTTGTTGTTTTCAAAGTTATTCGCAACTACTATTACTATGGAAGTCCGTTATAAGCTCCAGCAAAATATGTTACACAAGAGTAAGAAATTTAGCTCAATTTATGTTGTTGTTCTTGTTGTTGTGAATAGCTCAATTTATATAAGGTTAAAATTTACATGTGATATGAAGAATTGTCTTGATGCCAGCCAAACAAAGCAAAGCTTGCCTTCACTAAGCCAAAGAACTCTGTGCTCACAATTTCTTAGGGTTCTACATATGCAGAATTTAGTAAGTCATATTTTGGAGACAGAAGAGTTGAAAGAAAACTGAAACAAAAATATTTCAATAAAGGAGATCTAGCTCCTCCAATCACATCAGATATTTGTATTTTTAATAGAGAAAATCAGATGTGAAAGCAGGTGATGAGAGAGGAAGTAGACACTTCACTTACAAAATTTAGCTTCTTATTTATATCTCAGAATCTTCTCCTTCATCTAATTATAGATATTTCCCATATTCTTCAAATTATCCCAATATTACTGTTACTCTAACTAAGCAATTTTACAATCCAACTGGACCAATAGGCAACAGCCTGGTAGAGAAAGACATATTGCATTTGGTTAAATCTGCTGTCAAGAATCTTTTTTAAAGTGCTAAAGTACAAGGATTTAAGTTTAAAGACTAAGGTATACCTGATGCAAGGTATAGTGTTTCAATTGCTTCCTATGTAACTGAAAGTTGGACAATTAATAAGGAAGACCAAAGAAGAATTGATACCTTTGAATTGTGAATTGCTGAATTACAAGAGAGTTCTAAATAACCCATGGACTGCCAAAAGAACAAATAAATGGGTCTTGAAGGACGTGTGACCAGAGTGTCCCTTGGAGACAGGGACGAAGAAACTTCACCTCAAATACTTTGGGTATGTTTTAGGGAGGGGCCAAACCTTGGAAAAAGGCATCAAGCTGGGAAAAGAAGAGGGTCAGAGAAAGAGAGGATGACACTTAATAAAACAGATTGAAACAAAAAACAGTGGCCTTAAGCATGAGAGAGATTTTGAGGATGGTGCAGGACAGAACAAGGTTATGATACGTTGTTCATATGGTCACTATGAGTCATAATCGACTCGACAGGACTTAAAAACAACAACAATACACACAGGCATTGGAACCTATCTAAAATGTTGGTGGTTCAAACCCACTAACTGCTCTACAGTCTGAGCCTGTTAAAATTTATGGCTGCAAAACTCAATGGGACAAATTTCTCTTGCCTGTTAGGGTCACTATAAGTCAAAATTGACTGGACATCTGTAGGTTTGGTTTATTTAGCTTTATTTTTTTTAAAAAAAATCAATCTGTTTAGGGGGCTCTGGTGGCCTAGTGGCTGTACTGCACTCCCAGAAGTGCAAGGTTCAAATGCACCAGATGCTCTGCTGCAGAAGGAGGGACAATCTCCTCCTGTACCAGTCAGATACAATTTGACGGTACACACAAAAATAATAATAAAATATTAAAAAACATCTGTTTGTCAAGTACCACCAAAACCGTTTCCTTTTAGCAAATGGATCGATCTATCCCCAAATTCTTCTACTCCTCACCTTTACTCTATGTATAAAACACCCTGAGTTCACATGAATGGAATACATCTGCAAATGAAGTCTCTCCCTTTCTCACTAAAGAAAAATCTCCTATAGGTAAACTTCTTAAAGCAAATGACAAACTCACAAAAATGTAGGCCCAAGAAGAGCTAAAATATAACATTCCTAACTACACTTTTGGCAGATCACACCCACATGCACACACACATAGGCAAAATCACAGAGCTTAGAATCACTACCTAGTTGCCTGCCTTCAATCCAGACCACCAGCGTCTTTACCAGTGCATCATCATGGTGCAGTGAGAGAAGCTGGACTGAGAGGAAAAGCATTCCCACAATAACAACAAGAGTATACACAAGAAAGCAACGAATTGTTCACTCCCTAAGGTTTTCTATTTTTATTATTTTCCTTAGGTATTTGATACAAAGATTGCAATAAAATTTTTGTTTTGACTCTGTGGGATTCAGTATCACATAATAATCCACTTACACAGGATGAACTACTCTAAATCTGGAAAAGCACATTAGGGATTAAATGCAAATTACCTTTTACACCCCCAAATGGTCCGTAAGTCATATTGCAGGCTGTCCTCTGAAGATTATGTTCATACATCAATTTGATCTGATATTGGTTTCCATGTTCCACATTACCTAATGTTCCTAAGGGAATTTAAAAAAAAAATGTTTGGTTTTGCTCATATTATAAAACAAATATCTTCTCATCTTCTATATTAATTCTAAACAATTCAGTTTTACTGAAATTTAAAATGTCAAAGTAATAAAACATCACATAGTACAAATAATTAGCATAGTAATGATAGAATGTTAGCTAAATTAATACAATTTCAATCTCAGCTAAATTACACCATTAGTTTAAATATTATCTCTGGTGACATCTTATTATCTATTTTCCTAGGACAGATTATGTCTGAGGAAAGCTTAATTATTTAAATAACAAAAACCCTTCCAATTTCATTGCTAAACTAAAAGAGGTTAAATTCCTTGCACTCACAAACTTTAACAGATCCAAGAAATGACTCAGTGTGCCTTTTGGAGAAAAGTTCTCACACTTTTCATGCAATTCCATTTCCGGCCCCAACTGTGAAAGTACTCAAACCCTGGTATATTCATTTTCATCTAATGGAGAGATCTTCTAAGCTTTCTCCAGCAAGTTAAAAGGCCTTTTTTTTTTAATTTGAAAATTCTAAGTCAAATCTAACTCTGCATTTCAAGGGTCATATTTCCTACAACCCCTTTCTAGTTCTTTCATAATGTGAAAAGATTCTGAATCTGTACTTTATTCTCAAGTAATAGAATTAATAATGGTTAAACTTGAGGTTATATTCCAGTGGCGATGCCAGAACATTACGACAAAAATGATTTTTAAAAAAGATTCATAAAGTAACACTTTCTATAAAGAAGCATCTTTCATTCATTCATTCATTCAAAAAGTCAAAAGCTAAAAGAAACTTTAAATATCAAACTGCAGATAGTATTAGAGCATTAACACAATCTAAGTATACAGATTTAAAACCCTGGTTGCCCCCAAAACAAAAGCAAAGTTCAACAGCGCAGCAAACAGCAGGTGCTGGTGAGGTTCTGGAGAGACTAAAACTCTTATTCACTGCTGGTGAGAATGTAAAATGTAACAGCCACTATACAAGGCAGTCTGGTACTTTCCCAAAAAGTTGGAAATAGAAATTCTATTTGACCCAGAAATTCCACTACTGGAAATATACCCTGAAGAAACCAGAGCCACAACTCAAATAGATATATACACACCCACATTTATTGCTGTGTTATTCACCAAAGCAGAGATGGAAGCAACCTAAGTGCCCATCAACCAAAAAAATGGATAGAAAAATGGTGGTGTGTCTACACAGTGGAATATCACACAGCATTGAAAAATAATAAACTCTTAAAACATACAGCATAGGGGAGCCTGGGGGACATTATGTTAAGTATCTCAGTTGCAAAAGGGCAAATACAGCTGTTATAAAAATGACAGACATGAGGGAACTGGGGAGAAAATGAGAACAGAGCAGAGAGATAATAAACCCTGTAATAGAATAGATAAGGGGAAGAACTGGCCAAAAGGAATATAGGATTATGCATTATATGTATATGTATGACAACAATCTGGAACAGGGGGTGCATTGCAGGGTGGGCTAAAGTAAATGTGCAGCAATGAATTTAAATATATAAATAAAAACTCTAAGGTCAGTGGTTCAAATCCACCAAACACTCAGAAAGATGGGAATTTTCCTCCAATAAAGATGTACAGCCTGAAAAACTCAATAGGAGGTTGTTACTGTAAGTCAGAATAGACTTGATGGCAGTAGGTTGAAATATATAGAAAACATGCCCACATACAAATACAAATATATTAAACATGTGGGTATGTGGGTTTATAATCATCTGGAAACATTGAATTGTTTGATGTTTTTGGTGTTTTTTGTTGTTTTTTCCTGTGGTAGTATTCAGAAGGATCTGTCAATATGTTCTGAGGTTTTAAATCTGGAATCCTTTTTTCCTCCATTTTAGAATCAAAGCAATTTAACTTAATTTAAAAAAAAAAGGCATTTCCCCAAAATCACAGAGGTATTAAAGGACACAGTGCTCAAACTAGGTCTTGAGAGTTAGACACTAAATTCTTTTGTGTCTGGAGTTCATTTAGTACACTGTTCTAACAGCTTTCAAGAAAATATGGTCCTGACTCCATAAAGATCGTACTGTCCAAGGCATGTCAATGACAAGGTTCCCAAAAGAAATAAGCATTAATAATATTCCATTTCCACATTTCTCAGCTTGGTCTTCCTTTCTTTATATGGAAAGTTAAGATTGGCAATGTGGAGTTTTTCTTTCATTATGGCTTTGCTATGAGTCGTCTAAGACTTGACGGCACTTAACAACAACATCACCAACACGGAGCTCTGTGGGCCTGATGGATAGAAAGTTAAGCTACCAAGTCAAAAGTGGTTGATTTTCATCTGCAGCCCTCAGGCCTGGTTTTCATTGTTTTTGGTCAAACATTCGTCTAAGTGGGATACAGCACTGGTTAGTCCATTTGCTGTACAGAGGTAACTCATGGTTACTGTGATGCTAAACACAGTGACACTGATGTGTCTGATGTGATAATGATTACCCACAGTAGACAGTGTTTGGTGGAGCTCCCCAATTAAAACAAGCTTGGAAGCAAGAGTGGCATTCACTTCCAAAATAGCTTGCCTCCAGAAATTCTATAAACTTGGAGAAACAATGAAAATTATACAAGTGTTCAGGTCTTTCATTCATAGGGTCGCTATGAGTCATCTATGAATCAATGACACTTAACAACAGCATGGCTTTTCTAGCATAGATGTGTTACTATGTAGATGGTAGGACCATGCAAATAGGGCATGTTGGGTTATCCACAGAGGAACTGGCTATCTACCATTTCACAAGAGGATTGGCCAGTCTCAACAATTTATGAGGATTGGCTAATCTTGCCAATAAATTGAACGGCTCTAGCTGCAGAGATAAAATCTTCACCCACCAGAAACAGAAAGAATCCTCCCCAGCTAGGGAAGAGAGATCTTCTCTATGCCAGTGAAGAAAAGGAAGGAAAACATAGGATATGCTCCAGGATGGCAACAGCTGTCATGGCAGAACTGGAAAATTCACATGAGATAGGACTTTTGGGGAAGTGGAGGAAGACAATATTGGCAGGACTGAGAACTTTGCTGAGCAGTTGGGGAAAGGGAACCAATATTGGCAGGACTGAACCTGGAAACACTTAGAGCCACAAGATTCATGGCTGAGGTGCCTGTGTGCACATTTCAGGAGCTGTTTTGACTGTATTCTCAATAAATCTGGATTATAACCTTTTAACTCCCTCAATATGGTTCTATGTTGTTTGTGAGCTATCACATCAGATTTTGGACCCAGCAAAGCAGTAAGACTGGTATTGATATGCGTAGAAAAGGCATGGGAGCAAGGGGAACATGTCTGGCCTCATAGGAATTGGTTTTGTGTTATTGATGTTCTGGACAGGGGCAGTTCCTCCGTGTGAAGTGATAAAAGTCAGACATGGTGCTCCCCATGTAGCCCTTGCTCTTTTGACAGACAGAGAAAAATTGACAGGGGAGGATGTCTTGGAGGAAAACAATTTCTATTCCTTTCCATGCCCCTGAGAATGACTGTAATAGATTCTACACACCAAGAATAAAAAAACAAAGAGAAAGACTCAAATTTGCCAGCTAAACCTGATGACAGACCAGTTTGGTTGAATCTAAATGGTATTTAAAATCACTAATGTCAAAAAATCCCAAATCAACCACTAGGGAGGAAGGGGTGAACAGAACAAACAAAACACTCAACTAGCCAAGTAAGTCACAGAATTAATTACAAAGAAGTTACAAGAGGCAGCTTCTTTATCTTATAAACTTCACTCTATAATCAGAGAGAAAAAAATACATAGTTGCCATCAAGTCTATTTTCAGCTCATCTGTTTCAGAATGGAATTGGTCTCCATAGAGATTTCAAAGGCTGTGATCTTAGGGGAGACCACCAGGCCTTTCCTCAGAGGAACCTGTAGATAAATTCTGCAGACAACACTGCACTTAGTAACCAAATACTTAACCATTTGTGTTACCCAGAAGTCCTAAAGTCAGCATCAACTAGTTGCTGTGCAGTCAGACCAACTCCTCACATACCCTCCAACAATGTTTCAGGGACTATAAATCTCATGGTAGGAGACTGCCCATCATTCTCCCGTGGAGTAAGTGGTAGATTTAAACTGCCTGTCTTTAGGTTGGCAGTGAAACTAGACCATTTGAATAAGGAGTGCATGTAGCATAGCACATCTGCCTACCAAATGAGAGACAGGAGCAACAGGGACTCATGGCTATGAGCACAAGAGTGAGAAGTCAATATGTAAACAAACGGAACATGAAATGATACTATGATTTGAGCTCTTTAATAACTACAGATGCACTGGCAAATTTTTAATTTTCAGGTTATGGCAATCTACAACAATCATACTATTTTGTGAATAAAAACAAATTATCTTCCTTAAAAACTATCAGGAAATAAAGGTGATCTCTAAAAAGTTTGTGCCATTTTTCAAGAAATTTCACTTGACATAAAAATATCATTTCTTCACCAAAGTTTATGTCCTTGGATAAAGACTAAGAAGGAGGCAGGTGGTATTGTGGGTTACTAATAATAAGGTTGGAAGTTCAAACTCACCATGAGACAAAGGAGGGCAGTCTTTTTGTCATGAAGTGGCTTTTAAGATTTCTAGCCCTTTTATGATTTAACGGCCTCATACAATTTACAGCCTCAGAAACCTGACGGATGGTCACTATGAGTAAGAACCAATTCAAAGAGTGAATTTGTACTTTTTTCATTGTTTTTAGGGCTTTTAAAAAAATATACAGACTGAATTAGTAAGTGTAAGTGTGTAACGTATGTTATTGTTGTTGTTGATTGTGGTCAAGTGGAGTATGACTCATAAAGACCCTATGAACAAACGACCTGAAGCCTTTCTGTATTGTCATTTCACCAAGTTCATAGAGTATAACATATAACAAACATATAACTATAGTAAAATATAAAGGTCCAACAATTAGAAAGACAGCAGATACTAAATCATTTATACTGTTAACTTTATTTAAATA